CCAAAGGCCACGTGTCTGTTATCACCAAAGTTGCCTCGGCTCGGGAACTTGGGTACGAGAGGGGAAGGTCCTGAAATGAGCACTCTCATTCGCCCGATCAAAGATCGGTCTCTACCAATCATGATATGTCATTTTATAAACCTTATGCGTTCTTATTCCGGTTATTAATCTAACCTTACTATGTGATGCGCACAAGCAAGTATAGACTAGTCACAAGACTTAGAACAATTCAACTCATGTTTGTTTTCGAAAATGTTTTGAATTTGCCACCCTCAAGTGGGCTTAAAAATGTAGATTTGTCACCAAACATAGTGGGCTTAAAACATGATTTGCCACAACAAAGTGGGCTTAAAATGCATACTCGTTGAATTGTTCCAATTCAAAAAACAAACTTTCATCCACAGGTAGGGGTGGGCGCGGGTCGGTTACGGCCACGAAACCTCCAATCCGCCATCCGTCCGCCAGATTGGTGGATTAGAGAAAATCAATCCGCATCCGTCCGCCAATCCGGCAGATGTGGATTGAGCGGATTGGCGGTTTAGCAGATGGATGCAAATCGGTTTGGCGGTTTAAGATTTTATAAATTTTCAACATAATTCAACTTGTGCACTTCCTCAAAAAAAAGAAAAAAAGAAAAAATTACAGTAAAACCATTAACAGGGTAGTAGTAGAGATTGTATGTCTCTGTATTGTTACATCTATATTTATTTTTGAAAACAAAAACCAACCGTCATATATCATATTTTCTATTTATTATTTTTAGAGTTAAATTTAAAAACCAAAAAATATAGATAAATAATACGTTTATTTTTTCAATTCAAAAAATATATTCAAGTTGAAAACTTTTTTTCAACAGAATATTTAAACTCTTTTTCAATTGAAAACACAAACAAAATATTTAAATAAATTGAAAACATAAAGTCTTATAAATTATTAGGGGTGCTCGCGGTTTGGCAGTTCAATTACGGCCAAAGGAATCTCAAATCTGCCATCCGTCCGCCAAATTAGCGGATTGGAGAAAATCAATCCGCAATCGCCCGCTCGTCATCACGCATCCATCCAAAATGCGGCAGTTCGGTTCGGTTCGGTTCGGTCGGTTTTGCCGGTTCGATATATCCGCTGCTCACCCCTATCCACAGGCCTTCATGCAGTTTAGCATTTAAGCACATAGCCTTATGGCAAGCATGCAAAACATGACAATATGACAATCACACTCATGCAAGTATGCTAAAGCGTGAAACTCACCGAGTTCTCCAAGCCAAAACAAAAACTAGTTAGAACAATGCATGATCCTAACTATGCAAGATGTCTAATGCAACACATGCAATAATGCAATTAATAGGCTCGGCTACTAATTATGGCATATGAATCGATTTGAAATAATAATGCAGTTTGAATGATGCGTCGAGCCTCAGTGCATGCAAGACAAATAAATGGATGCAATCATGCAAGCATAATGTATGCCAATTGAAAATGTTCCTAATCTAACCATCAAAAGCGATTAAATAAAAGGGAGAAAGACGTGGGGTTGGAAGACATACACACATGCACGTACACTTATTATAACATTACGCCCTCGCGAAGGAGGGTCCGCATAAATAAGTTAACTAGCTACGCTAATTATTACAACACAATTAACTAACTATTCTAAGCTAATTAAATATTACAAAACAAATTAATTAGCTAAACACTTTAACTAACTAATTACAAAGCAAGTAAATTAGCTACGCTAATTATTACAACACAATTAACTAACTATTCTAAGCTAATTAAATATTACAAAATAAATTAATTAGCTAAACACTTTGACTAACTAATTACAAAGCAAGTAAATTAGCTACCACTAATGAACTAAATAAAGAAGTTAAATAGCCTTGGGGGCAAGAGATGCATGAATGCTCGGTTGGCTTCCTCTCGAAAATCCACCGCCTTGCCATTGGACACCTCTGTTTGTACTTGTTTGAACACTGAAAATTACACCAACTTCCAGAACACTTTTGATCCCCTTTAGGAGCACACTAAGCAACTTCCTTCATGGATGGCAGGTCCGCTACCATTGGTGGTCGGTCGGCTACTTCTGGTGGCTGGTCGACCACCCTTTCCCTGAACTTCTTTTTTTGCTTCAACAGAGAGCAAACAAAGGCAAAACAGTGTATTCTCAAGAAGTGTATGTACTGCTACCCTCCTTATCATCACACAAGCTCAAATGAGTATAGCTCTTGGCTTTCAAGCCATCAACCAAGCAATTTTCATACATGATGGCCAAATAACCAAGCTTGTACAAGCTTAATGAGTGCAAAACAAGACTCAACAAACCACCACCCTATCATGCATGATCAAGGGTAATGGTGACGAAGAAAAGTGGCACGTTTCATCACTTTGAGTATGAATCGTCTAATTTTTCTCGTGTTCGAATTAACGTCCGATCCGAACACATGCAATGCAACATGAAAGATGCTTATCTTGCCTCTTTTACTTGCTGATTTTTATTCACTCATTTTAGCTTACCAATCCATTCTTTAATTGATTAGTCCAAAAGGTGAGTGTCCACAAATGGAAAGAGGGCTTAACCACAAGTGCCTTGAGCATGAAAGAGACCTCATGTCGTTGGTTAGTAGAAAATCTCAAAAAAGGATTGAAACCATTAAGCACGAGTGTCTCAATTTCACACTTAAGCCAACAAGGGGTTCAAAGCCCCTTTCAAAATAGATGAAAGAGTGAAGAATAGAGGGAGATTGCAGAGATTTTAGTGCTAAATAGAGTGTAAAATGACGCTAAAACATGCAAGCAACTCATGCAATTCATACTAAAAAGCCTAAAACATTAAGCTAGTGAAGCCTCTTTACACTACAACCACACAATACAAGCCTTAAAGGACCAAATCAGCTCAAAAAATAGCTGAAACGAGTCAAAATAGTAGCAAAAACATGCTAAGATTGAGGTATAAAATGCTAGAAAAACATGCTCACATGTTAAGCTATCTAGGCATGCAAACAAGGCACAAGGAGGAGAGGCTACCCCCTCCAATTTTGGACTTCAAAATGACGTTTTTACCACTGAAATAACTCAGAAGTTCAGTGCTTTTAAAAAAACAAAAAGTTTGACTTGAAATCCTTGAAAGATGGCACAAAAGCTCACATAATTAAGCAACAAGAAGGGTAGCTCACCCCTTAACACAAAATAGCCTAAAACCATCATGTTAAGCCTCAGAAACTAGTGTTTCGTTGTAGTTGAAAACTAGCTTAAAAATAGTATAAAAGGATGGCAAAACAAGTGTGCACAATAAGCTTAAATAAGGTAAGTTCTCTACCTTTGAAGCACAACACAAAACAGCCACAATTTCAGGCTCAAACCTCCTTCCAAAGCTCAAACTAGGCTCCAAGGGACCTCAGCTCCAAGGTGGTCAAGTTTGGTTAAGGGTTAGTGTGCAAAGGTGTAGAGAAAACTAACTACAAAGCACAAAACAAGAAGAGAGAGAGAGAGAGAGAGAATTCTAGAGAGAGAGAGAGAGAAAATTTTGATCCAAATATTCAAACCTTTCCAAATGGGGGAGAGCACCCCTATATATAGAAAAACAAGATTAAGGCTTGAAATCATCCTACCATACACGTATACGGAGATGTACTTCAGTGAACAACAGTTGGCACAACTGGTAAACAAATATCTAAAAAAGGAGAAAAATGGCCGTTGGCCACCACGACTGGCCATCAATGTAGCCAATCGGCTAACAATATAGCCGACTGACCACCACTGGTGGCCGACAGGCACAAGTCATGGCCGATAAGCTATGGGGATGGTCGACAGGCCACCCTTTCCTCCAGATTTGAAACAACAAGCTCTTGGTCCACAACCAAACACAAAATAGACAAGGTTCGAAGGCTAAAAAATGAGGCGCTCGGCCAGCACAAAACAAATAAGGGTCGAAGGCTCAAAAACGAGGTGCTCGGCTAAGATCTTTGGGTACTCAACATAAACACGAGCATACAAAATCATTGAGTGGTCAAATGATGACGTCCAAGTTTCGCGGACAGTTAAAAATGGGGTGTCTACACCTAGACTTCATCTAATTTTAATTTGATAGCTAAAATTTTTGAAATTTGATCAATTTATCCCCCGCCGTCTGATTCCTTCTACAGTCAAATAGAATGTGGTGTTGTGACCAGTGGGCGGCCCAAAGCCCGACCACGGCTGGGGGTGGGTCCAGTCTGTTTAGGCTTGTTTGGGCCCAAGCTCGGGTCCAGCCCGAGCCCCTGGGCCTGGGCCTGGGCCATCATTTTGAAGCCTAGCCCGCATGGCCCGGTCCATCGGCCCGCTTAAGGCCCATTCAAGACCCGGATTGAGACTCGGCCTGCCCGATGCCCAAATGTCTTTTTTAGTGAAAAATAATAAAATTTTGGTAGAAAAGAAAAAATGGTTAGGCCCGCTGTCACACACCGGCAATGCAGAAACCTTGACAAAGATATGCCAATGTGTGTGGCGCTAGTTAACTCTCTTCACTAGCCCGCCAATAAAACTCAAAAGGTTTGCAAAGACAAGCAAACACAATATTAGTTAAGTTGATGAACCACAAGATTGGAGACAAGCTACAAAATAGCAATCAATAAGCTAAAATTAAAATAACCAACAATTGAAAGGCTTTGCACAATTTAAATGCGAAATGTACTTTTCATTGATCAAAAGAAGGCATTACAATAGTTGAACAATGCACCAAAAGTTCTACAAAAGTTTCCTTATCATAAGCTAGGTTGGGGTACTTTAAAGGCACAAGTGGTCTGGTTCAACACTTGGGTACCCCCTCCTTAATATAGCTTGTTAAGCCTTTTCCTAGCTGGCAGGAGAAAACATCCACTATGTTTGAGGAGTCACAATGGATTTTGAAAAATTCTACAAAAAGAGAAAAATTACAACTCTTGGTCCTAAAACACCATTAATACTAAGGTATTTACATAAAAATTTACAAGGCAAAAAGATTACGTTTGACCCTCCAAAGCCTAAAGTTGCTACTTGGGCGGGTAAGTCTGTGGCCTGTTGTGGCTAGGTTGCTTAATGGCATGTCTTGGGCTATCGTGCACTATGCCTTGGGCCTTTGCTTGCATTTGCACCAACAACTTCTTAGGCATGTTTTGGGCTCTCCAAAGGGCATAAATGAGTGTGGCATCAAGGTGTTGACCCTTAGATGGGTGCACCTTGACAGTCTCCCCTACTTGAACGGTCGACGCCTTTGACGACTTTGCCCAATAAGCATCCATCTGGTCTTGAAAAGCTGACAAGTCCGCCTCCCGTTCCCAGCTAATTTCTTCATCTCCAAGGCGTCTCAATTTCACCAAGTATTGCCTTTGTTCCTTCTTGGAAACCATTTTCACCCAATCGGTCAAGATAAATTCAACAGACCTTTTTCCTGCTTTAGCTGTGATGGTTTGGCGTTTCATCTCATTTAGGGTTGGATCTTTCTTGTCTGGATAGTAAGGCTTCAGATAACTTACATGGAAAATCGGGTGCACTTTCAGCCAAGATGGAACATCTATCTTGTAAGCACACTTGCCAATTCTCTTCAGAATGGTTACCGATCCCTCATACTTGCGCACTAGCCTTTTGTCTCTTTCCCTCATGAACTTGCATTGCTCGGGGTTGAGTTTGACAAGAACTTGATCCCCAACTCTAAACTCAAGTGACCTCCTCTTTTCATCAGCCCATTTTTTCATTTTACTTGCTGTTTTTTCAAGATAGGCATGAGTAATGTCATGGTTTCTCTTACATTCCTTAGCAAATTGGTAAGCCCTAGGTGACTTTTCTTTATAAGGTCCATCCACTATGTGGAGCAACCGTGGCTGCTGTCCATTCACTATCTCAAAAGCACTCTTGCCCGTAGAGCTACTCTTTTGAGAGTTAAGCATAATTGTGCTACTTCAAGAAGTTGTACCCAATTTCGTTGATTAGCATTGACAAAGTGGCGCAAATACTCCTTGAGCATACAGTTGAAGCGTTCAGTTTGCCCATCCATCTCCGGATGGCAGCTTGATGAAGTATTAAGTTGTGACCCAAGAAGCTTGAATAACTCCGTCTAAAAGTTGGCAACGAAACGCGAATCCCAATCACTAACAATACTTTTAGGCACACCCCAATATTTAACAATGTGCTTGAAGAAGAGTTGGGCAGTCTTCTCGGTTGAAACATACTTTGGGGCAGCTACAAAGGTGGCATACTTGGAGAATCGGTCCACAATGGTCAAGATAATCCCGATGTCTCCCACTTTAGGCAGTCCAGTGATGAAGTCAAGTGATACACTTTCCCACGGACGTTTAGGCACGGACAAAGGTTGAAGTAAGCTTGTTTTCTTCTTATGCTCGACCTTGTCTTGCTGGCAAGTGAGACAAGTGCGGACATATTCTTCCACATCATCACGTATTTGGGGCCAATAATATCCTTGTTTGACCAAGGCCAATGTTCGCTCCTAACCTGGATGTCCTACCCAAAGTGTATCATGGCACTCCCTAAGAAGTGTCTTTCTCAAATCACTAGCCCTGGGTACAAAGATGCGGTTACTTGTTGTCATTAGAAGTCCATCTTGCACCCAAAATTGGCGAGTCTTGGCCATTTTGACAAGGTTCATAAGATTCTCTGCCATAGCATCCTTGTCTAGATGAGCCTTGATTTTCTTCTTGATGCTGGTTGAAATGGAAGTAAGTGAACATACATGATGGCACACGGCAAGCTCCGCCTTCCTACTTAGTGCATCAGCAACATGGTTAGTGGCACTAGCCTTGTATTCTAAGGAAAAATCAAACTCTACCAACTTCTCTTGCCATCGTGCTTGTCGTGCGCTTAGTTTGGGCTGTGTTAAGAAATGGCTAACCGTCGTGTTGTCAGTCTTTACAACAAACCGTGAGCCCAAGATGTAGTGCCTCCAGGTCCTCAGACAATGCACTACTGCAAGCAACTCTTTCTTATGAGTTGGATATTGCCGCTCGGCATCATTGAGCTTCCTACTCTCATAGGAAATTGGGTGACCATCCTGCAAAAGAACACCACCCAAAGCAAAATCAGATGCATCAGTTTGTATCTCAAAAGCTTTACCTAAGTCAGGTAGAGCAAGAACATGGTCTTTTGACATAACTTCTTTTAAGGCTTGAAAGGCTTGTTGGCACTCTTCTGCCCAAACATATGGCTTGCCCTTTTTTAGCAACTCTGTCAATGGGGAAGCTAGTCTTGAGTAGCCTTCAACAAACTTGCGATAATAATTAGCCAACCCCATGAATGACCGCAATGCTGAGACATTAGTGGGTGGCTGCCACTCTTAAATAGCCTTGACCTTCTCTTGGACCATTTTGATGCATCCATGATCAACAATGTGCCCTAGGAACTTAATCCTCTCTTGGGCAAAAGAACACTTCTCTAGCTTGACATAAAGCTTGTGCTCCCTCAACTTGGTAAGGGCCTTCTGAAGATGCTCCACGTGCTCTTCTAAAGTGGAGCTATAAATTACAATGTCATCCAAATATACTACCACGAATTGATCCAAATACTCTTGAAAAACTTCATTCATCATGGTGCAAAATGTTGCTGGGACATTGGTCAAGCCAAATGGCATGACAAGAAACAAGAGCCATAACGAGTAACACAAGTAGTTTTAGGCTTGTCTCCCTCGGCAATTCTTACTTGATAGTACCCTGATCGAAGATCTAGCTTTGTGAAATACCTTACTTTGCTCAATTGATCAAATGAATCTGCAATGAGAGGAAGGCGATACTTGTTCTTAATGGTCAGCTTGTTGAGTGCCCGATAATCCACACATAAGGGAAGACTGCCATCATGCTTCTTTTGGAATAAGACAGGTGCACCGAATGGGGCCTTAGATGGCCTAATAAAGCCTGCTTTTAACAACTCTGTAAGTTGCTTCCTTAACTCATTCAACTCAGGAATAGCCATTCTATATGGTGCACGAGCTGGTGGCTTTGCCCCTGACACCAACTCGATAGCATGATCCACACCTTGGCGTGGAGGCAACTCCTTAGGTAACTGTTCAGGCATAACATCTGCAAATTGCCTTAAGACCTTCTTGATTGCGGCTGAGACAAGAGTAGATTTGAGAGCTTCATTCAACTTCAATACGGCAACCCTAGTTTGCTCACCATGCCAAACACCCCTCTTGAGTTACATAGCTGAAACAAACGGTTGCTATAGCAGGAATGAGACATGGCTTATCTCCCATGACACACATACTATTAGAATAAAGCATGATTGCCGTCTTTGTGTTTCACAAGAAATCCAACCCAATGATGGCTTGGAAGTCATCCATGGGTACTGCGGTGAAATCTATTCTTCCTTCCTAAGTTCTGACCTTTAAATGATTAGATTTTGTAACCCCATAGATAGACTGCACTGCCGAGTTAACCACCTTGATGCGGTTGCCATCCTTCTCTAAAGATAGCCCCAAGTCTTTCAACTTTGGTCCCCATAACAAAATTATGGGTGGCCCCTGTGTCAATCAAAGCTCGGAGGGGCTTCCCATTGAGTTTTACATCCACAAACATCAAACCTTTGTTGGATGACATGCTCTTGTTGACCTTGCCTGATGATTCCCCACCATACATGGGTTTCTTCCCTTTGCCTTCATCTTTCGACTCCACAAGTTGTTTAGGATCTGAATGTTTGCCCACTTTGCCACTCTTGGCATTCTTCTTAAGCCTCCCTGTCGAAGACTTTTTCTCGATGGCATTCGTCATATGAAAGGCTCCCACTCTAGAGCCAGTTTCCTTAGATCCCTTGCCACTTCGCCTAGAATGCACGTCTTCTTCCTCGCTATCATCATCACTTGGTTGAGAGACATGGTCAGACAGAGTTGCTAGAGCATTTAAGGCACATTTTTGTGGACATTCAGATAATCGGTGTGGCCCATTATATAAGAAACAAGAGATAGAGCCTTTTGCTTTGCTTATTGAGAATTGTTGAGGGACTTTTGCCTTGTCACCATAGCTCTTCTATTGCCATTGTCCTCCACCCGAATGGGTTTTGGATGTAGAAGTGTTGGCTCCCCCACTCTTAGGTGCCATAGCCTTGGGACTTTCCACCTCCCCTACTCTTGCGCTGGAACCACTATCCCATTGCTTAGGTTTGGCGTAGTCCGTAAGGTACTTAGCTGTTGCTTGTGCATGGGCTAAATCTTGTACTCTTTGCCTTTGAAGTTCAACTTTAGCCCATGACTTCAATCCCTCAAGAAAAAAGAAAAGCTTGTCTTTCTTTGACATGTCTTTGATATCTAGCATAAGCCCAGAGAATTGTTTCACATAATCTCTTATAGTGTCGGTGTGCTTGAGATCCCGCAAAGCACGTCGGGCATTATACTCAACATTTTCAGGGAAGAATTAGAGCTTAAGTTGCTCCCAAGTTTCAACTGTGCATAAGCCGTGTTGCATCTCATCATGTTTAGTCTGCCACCACAACTTGGCATCACCGAACAAATACATTGTGGCCATAGAAATCCTTGTCTCCTCAGCATTGGCTTTCACAGCTTTGAAATATTGCTCCATATCAAAGAAAAAGTTGTCTAACTCCTTGGCATCTCGGGTGCCACCGTAGGCATGAGGCTCAGGCACACGCACCATAGTGAATTCCATGTCACCACTAGGTGCGTTGCCAAAGGCACGGGTAAGAACACCAACCCGGCCACTAAGGTCTTCAATCTCTAGCTTGAGTTCAGTGGCAACATCCTCAAAATCTTGCCCTTGAGTAGGGCTATGAGTTTGCTCAAGATCATGAACCCATTGCTCAAGGTTGGCCAATGAAGCTGTCATGGCCTCCATGTTGTCCATACGTTGCTCCAAGAGCTCAATTCTCTTCCTTTGCGTGGGTTGACGGTTGCCAGTAGCATCTATTTAGAAAGCCAATAATAGAGAAAGCCAAATAAACTGGGCTCTGATACTAACTGTCACACACCGGCAATGCGGAAGTCTTGACAAAGATATGCTAGTGTGTGTGGCACTAATTAACTCTCTTTACTAGCCCGCCAATAAAGCTCAAAAGGTTTGCAAAGACAAGCAAACACAATATTAGTTAAGTTGATGAGCCATAAGATTGGAGATAAGTCGCAAAATAGCAATCAATAAGGTAAAATTAAAGTAAGCAACAATTGAAAGGCTTTGCACAATTTAAAGGCGAAATGTACTTTTCATTGATTAAAAAAAGACATTATAATAGTTGAACAATGCACCAAAAGTTCTACAAAAGTTGCCTTACCATAAGCTAGGTTGGGGTACTTTAAAGGCACAAGTGGTCTGGTTCAACACTTGGGTACCCCCTCCTTAATATAGCTTGTTAAGCCTTTTCCTAGCTGGCAGGAGGAAACATCCACTATGTTTGAGGAGTCATAATGGATTTTGAAAAATTCTACAAAAAGAGAAAAATTACAACTGTTGGTCCCAAAACACCATTAATACTAAGGTATTTACATAAAAATTTACAAGACAAAAAGATTACATTTGACCCTCCAAAAGTTGGCCTAAAGTTGCTACTTGGGCACGCAAGTCTATGGCCTACTGTGGCTAGGTTGCTTCATGGCATGTCTTGGGCTATCTTACACTATGCCTTGGGCTTTTGCTTGGACTTGCACCAACAACTTCTGTCATGACCCAAACCCGCCCCCATAGGTTTAGCGTCGTAACCGGCCAGTAATCCTTAGATTACCAAAGGCCTCTTAACGGAATAATGTATAGTTAGGGGCTATGGAAGCAAATATACCAACAATACATAGTCCATAGAGCCGTGCAAACATACATGGGACAGAAATTTAAAACCTTATGTAATATGTTTACATACACGTGACATCAAAATGCAGTAATCTTTGTCACATTTAATACAGTTGTGGCCAAAAGGGTATAGCCCAATATATACATAACAA